CCGGTAGGCAGAGGTGCACATCACGCCTTTTATCCCCGAAGGGGTACCTTCGGGGATAAAAGGCGTGATGTTATGTTATGTTATGTTATTTTTACTATTTTAGAGCCTCGTTTATTTTTGTGCTAGTTTGATATCACCTGTTGACGTAATAGTTTATTTTTTTGTTTCCGTATTGTTTGAAAACGTCCATAAAAGGTAAAGTAATGAAAATAAACTTAAATGATTTATTTCCTTCTTGTCATTGTACCAGTACGTTTTAAGCACATCTACATTAACTAAGGTCTGTTTTAATCTTCCTGCAAAAGAACTACAAAACGACCAAAATATTCTTAACAACAATGCTTCCACTTCAGTTCTTTGTGAGAGACAAAACAAATACATAAAGTGTTGTAAGAAAAATGCCAGTATCATGTGTTGTTCAAGGAGAGAGAATTCAGAGCGCCCCAGCCACCGCATTGGACATAGATAGACGAAACGTAAAGAATGATCACGACATGAGACAGCACATGTACGCGAGAAAAATACGCTCATTCTCTCGCTACGCCGACACAGAATAACTTTGGCAATTTAGGGTTGAATTGCTCAGCAAAACAATCTGAGCTCGCGTTTTCGATATAACTTGTTATTTTCTTTAATAATTTATCTAAGCGTTATTTTGTAATCTAAGTACAGAATATTTTCCACACCACATAGGCCAGACCTATATATATGGTAAATCGGTAGATTTGGACAATTGACGTATGACACAGTTTAAGTCTATTATCATACAATTAACCATTTACAAATTCTAGGTACTGCCAGAAAATTCATCGATAACAAGCCGAAGGGCAACTTTTTTTACATTTATTTAAATCAACCAATTGCCCAACGCAAACGCTCGTGACATTGCGATACGTTTTACGGCAAAGGGTCGGAGAGACCGAGAAAAATCAGCGGCAATGACTAGACGATTCCACGTTACGTTCCTAATCCCGAACCCTTCCTCGCAATATGATTTGCGTCAGTGGAGATGCGTTCAGAACAGATCACCGGACGGTAACCGAGTGGAAAAAGCGCTTCTCATCGGGACCGTTACTGGAGATCGTAAGAATTCGAGTGGCGTCGCGTCGCCAAGCGAACTACGTTTTCAACGAATGGGCGCGCCCTGGAATAGCCTATTATTTTGTTTTAAAAACGCTCCATTTGTTATATTTAAAAGAATCATCGTAATTCTCAACTAGTTTTACGGTTTTCAAAATAAATAATTACAAATGTTGAATAAGCATATGTTTACATTCTGATACAGTTAAGATTCGTTTCATAGCATTCTAAAATTTCTGTAATTCAACCTGTATAGATATATTTGCGGCGTACCTTTGTTTATGTCTCTATTAATTCCAAAGGCGTCCGACCACGAGGTGGGTAATGTTATCATTCCATTAATTACAACATCCACCCCCCTGCTTTTTAAAAGTAAATTAATCCGATTAAGGGGGGAATCGAAGAACCCGCTCCGTCCGAGTTTATTCAGGCAACTTTCTTTAGAATAATTATTTTTTGTAATTAAATCCATCAACACGATTTTTTCCTAATGATTCTCCCGTGGGAGTTGGTGGGTGGCAACCGGGAATAGGGAACTTTTATTTTTTCTTTAATTTCATATTCTAAAATGCTGTTCTAGTCTTGTTGTGAGCAAAATGAATTTAAATTGAGTTGAATATAGTCGACATTCGAGATAATAAAACAATTTTAATAATAAAGTTGTTTTATTAATCGGAACCCGGTTTCAAAAGTTTAGTGGTTTTTGTACCAGGTGATATGGAGATTTAGGTAAATCTCATATTAATAATGACTACTACTTCATTTTAGTAAAATCAAGATTTGCTTCGATTTTTATTTTAATTATAATTGAAATGTATAAGTATACAGATTATAAAATACATTTCAATTATAATAAATAAAATCTGCTTTGTATGTCGAACAATATTCGTCTGGCGGGCACGGGCGGTCTCTCAGACCCCACCCCCCTCACACCAGTGTTAATGATACCTCGCTTTTAAAGGGCACATCATTTACTTACTTTTACGAAAATTAATTGAAATGAGTTTTGACGATGAAAAGATGGCTATACAAAAGAGAATGGTGGCCGCTAGGTGTCGTTGGAAGATAACTTGTTCATCTTTAATTAATTATTTTGTGGCAAAGAATTTGTTTTCTTTGATATTCTAGGCCCTATTCATTGACTTTACCAATTATGATTTCGATTAAGAAACTGTATAAATAAATTATTTAATGAATTTATCAAAAGTTGACAATATTACAAGTTAATTCTCAGACGTTGGTATTAAAATATGGTTAAGCTTCTTACGCAATATTCAATGTACTACAACATTGCTTTTCGTAAATTGATTGTAACGTACCTAAAACACGAATAAAAGTGGCCTAAGTCAGTCGTACACCTTGTTATCCATGACTAGATGGGACTGCCTAAAAAGTAATAGAAACAATTACTTCACAAAATTACTATAATCAGCTTATCACAAGAAAATTAACATTAGGTACGTCCATTTACCTATTTGATTTTGATTAGTTTTCCAAGTATCGTGGGCTTCTCATTTCGTGGAAGCTTTTAGGTCACATCTGCGTATGAAACCGGACCGGTATGTAGGCCACTCGTAATATATCGACATGAGGAGGTTCGCAGATTGATGAGCCGGTCCCCCCCTCCCGTACGGACGTCCGGCGCGCCCCCACCGTCCCGCGGGGCGAAGCTCTATTGCAATAGATTGAGCCTGTTTTGTTTCCTTCTGTTGGTGGTACACACGAGAGTGCCATCGGAAGATGTCTGCGATGGAATTCTCTTTTTAATTCTTACGTAATTTGTACATTTGTATATTTATGAAGGATATTTGGCATCTAAGGTGTGCGACACCTTTTGCTACGGTAACGTAACGTACGGAAGCGCTACGATAATATTCTAGTACATGCATTGCAGTGGTTCAAAGTAAATGTAATTCATAATGCTATATGCAAAAGAAAACATTAGGTCAATACTAAAACAGCAAAATTCTGACCGTGTCGGGTAGTTGTAAACAGTAACAGTCAATGGAGGTTTATAGCATTTGCAGGCAATGTGCCAGTGTCCTGTCCACTACTTTAGGACCAGTCTAAATGGCACTATTTGATGGTTCAGATGTTTAGTAAATCCATAGGTACTCATCACCTAAACAGCCAACAGCAGCAGCAATCATGACAACAAGAAGAGTTTATGTTCATTTACAAAATAAAATGTGATTATAAGGTTATATTTAATGGTCTCGTTTTCTAAAAAAAACTTGACTTATTACTTAAGTATACCTGACCTCGCGCGTTTTAATTTCAACGTTGTCAGTCACTTAAATATATATTTACTTGAACAGAGTTACAACAAGAATAATCTAAATTTAATACAATATTGATTTCTTATATACTAATTATCTGCTAATTCAGTAATTTCGTAATAATGTATGACCTAGATAAAAAGTCATTATTTAGTTACTTTATTCTTGCTTACGAAGCTAATATGTGTATATTGGGGTTCCTTAACTCGCGCCTCAAAGAGCCATCAGACCACCACAGATGGGGCCCAATAGGGCCGATGCCGATTCGGAGTCGCGGAGAACCTAACGGGTAACCAGGGCTCCGGCTCGACGTGCAGGAGAAGGAACGGGGTGGTTTTAAGTCAGTAAGAGTTAGACACCCCCTCCTGCCTCACCCAGGTGGGAGCAGTCAATCGATGACTTTCCCCCCTTAAAAAAATACCTGACCTAAATAAGTATTACCTAAATAAGTCTTGGGATAAATCGAAATCGTCTTCTAGCCACTTATCCTATCCCAAGGCTATCCCAAGACTTATCTTCATGTCGAGTTCTCATGTGTAACTTGTATCGTGTGAGTGTACAATCCATATGCATTGTCGAGGGATCTATTTATTTTCTTCAGGATAAATGTTTCAGCCCCTTGATACAGCCAATCATTTTGCTGGGAATTAGTTCTTACGTAAACTGTACATTTATACGCAGTGTGTATTATATTCGCATTAATTTTATTTTAGGATATTTATTTTTATCTTTATAGTTTCGTATTTTATTCTGGAATATGAATAGAATTTCAGATATAGGAAAGACAATACGCACAATTAAAAATCGCTAACATTTTACGATTGCCTTGGATCATAAACTGCATTTTTAATGATAAAGTGACATCATAATTCACACGATTAAGAAAAGTAAAGATAAGTAACATAATAGCAAATAGAAGATAGTGTTTATAAAGAAATACGGGGATTTCTAAGATGGGGTCTATTCGGGTCTGGTGAGGAAGCGGCCGGCGGTCGGGGGTCACCGCGGATACGATACGTTTCTCCCGGCTCCGGCACTCCGGCTTCCCTACGGCGATGATACTCAAGCTTCACACACAAATAATGCCTTTTTATGTTTTCCTTACATTGTGATTATGGTTCCCGGAAAATGTATGAAAAGTAAATGATGTGCATTTGTTTAGGCAAGTAATGTCTTGGATTAGCTGCTACGATGCTTTTTTGCGTTTTATTTGTGTGAATAGATTTTATTTTAAGTACATATTTTGTGTTGGTTTTTTTTTCTTTTATTTTTTTAAAAAACGTTGCCCCATATTAGGATTTTTCCTGTGTCGTGGGTGCGTTTACAAACATACAAGTTCACATACACAATGACACCCAGACCCGAAACAACAATTTGTGGATCACACAAAGTGTTGTTCCGTGCGGGAATCGAACCCGCGGCACGTTGCACGGCAGCCGGTTGCCCAGCCACCGCACCAACCGTGCAGTCACAATTATAAAGTACTTAACATCGGTCTATTTATTTAACTTTGCAAGATAACTTGTTTATTACCCGACAATTAGAATCAGTTCAAGAAGAGAATAAAAAAAATATATTTTTATACCAATAAAAGATAGAGAATGCCACCCGGCATTAAGCCCGCCATTGTACATATAATGGTATGTATAAAAAGTGTTAATTAAAAAAGTTTAAAAAAATATAATGCTCAAATCTGAAGACAAACAGTCCTTGTCCACATGTCGTCGCTGTAACTTTAACAGACGTTTCAGTTTCGGTTTCGTTTTAATTATTTTAAAGTGCTATAAGAGAAAAGACGATTAGTGGAATAAATCATGTTCTTCAATAAAATACGGACCTCGCGTCAAAAACACGTTTTTATTTCGGTTTCCAGAGGCAAGCATGGGCATCACGCAGCGATGCACCAATTAATAATGGTTAGTTGGCGACAACCTTCTTTGAACAAAACTTTAACGCAAGATTAGCATGGAGTAGAAAACCTGGCTTTATAACATCGGCTGTGTGCCGGTCCGCTTCGCTTGTAATTCCATACGAAGCATTAAAGTGTTAAGTTTATCGATGGCAATAATGCATCACAAGTAGCCGCCGTACTGTACGTAAGTAGGTAGTATATGTACGTATCTACATATATTTGTCTGGCTCTGCTTATGTACTTTTAACTTGTATGTTATAGAAAATTCATTTTAAGAGATAGTTGTGTCTTTTTCTATTGTTTATTTATTACTCTGGTTACCTTATTTAGCATTAGAAATATTATAGGTTTAAGGGCTACAGAGCTTGGAAGATACGGAGCTGTTGCCAATGGTGCAGTGGTTTTAGTAAGGCAAATCTTACACTGCCTAGTCTCTTGATAAAGCAACCTTTTGAAGGTTTCTTCTCGTCATTAAAAAGATGATACCATAGGTAGTTACTGACATAGTTATTAAGTTAAATGGTCCAGTTTTATAAGTGCTTCATCATAATAGTTAATTGTAAACTAGTCAGTACTTAGGTCATGTGTTCTATAGTCACGTTTCATTGCCATATCTGTCACCGTTCAATATAACAAGTATTTCATATTCCAATCTAATATCGTACGTTATAAAATTCTAATTAAAATACCGTAATTTCATTGAAAAGGAAAAAATAAATCAGACATTCCTTAAATATTTACATAAGCAATTGTTTGCTAAGCTTATTAACATTAAATGCCAATATTGATTGAATTATAACAGTGTATTGTATGAGAATGAGAAAATTACATTCACATTCATTTAATAAAACAAAGAAACAATACACATTTAGTTTCCAAGCAAATACAAATGTATTTTAGTAAGTCTAAGTTTAACAAAACACCTGTCTCTAAGGGTTAGGTTAAAGTACAGTTTTCACAAACGAAGGTAGATACCACATGATTTTCGTAAGTTGTCTATCTTTTAGGCTAGTTCCAGTGGCAAACTATTTTATCATTATCATTTGTAACACAGTGTGAGTCTATTGACAAATAGCTATATAGCATAAACTTTGAAATGATCGGCGGTATTTCCGAACCGATACGACCTTGAAAGCTTCAAGAAAAGAGCGTTTTCCCTTTTTAAAAACCGGCAACGTACCCGTGACTCCTCTGGTGCTGTGGATGTCCATCAGCGGCGCTGATCGTTTAAACCATCAGGTGATCCGCCGGATCGTTTGCCTCCAATTCAAAAAAAAAACTCAGACTTTGTACTGAGAATTTTAGGAATTCAAAAACTCTCAATAATACTTTCAAAATCAATTCCTAAGTTGTTCACTGCAATAGCTAGACCCAAAAAGCAGTCAAGTACTAAGTTTTAATAGGTAATGATGTAAGTATGTATGTACAGGCTGATATTTTAGATCCCCGTCGATCACTTAAGATGTGTAAGCGGTTCACGTGACAGCTAATTCTTGTTTCATGGAGATAAGCTCAGCCGACACGCGCATAAAGAGGCTGGGAACTCACTATTGGCTTAGATTTTAGGTTATGTTAAGTTATAAATGAAATATTTACAGAAGATATGATTTACGTTAGTAATTATACTGATGAAATAGTCATTGTTTATTGCTGCTTAACTATGTAATATTTTATAATGAATTGATGAGTATATATTTAGGTATATACCTATATATATGGGTACTGAAATTTTATTGCAAATCTTAGTACATGTTAGGGTTTAATGCATAGATCGTTATGTTCACAGTTTAAAGCCTGCGTAGGTATTTACTTCAAGAGAATCTTGAGTGAGTTAAAGACTTTAAGATAATGAACATCGTACGTTATCTTGTATTTAGTGATGGCACGCAAATGAGCTACACCCTGTATCTATATTTTTATTTTTAGGCGTAGAATTTTGTCGTTGTAGAGTCATTAAGGTTTCAAATCTAATCTAGGTACTAAAATACGATACCAGCCTGAAAGTTCTTACACCTGACATTTCGAAAATACTATTCTTAATAAAAAATAAATTTAGTATTTGTTATGGACGCATAAAATACCTTTAGGAATGATAAAGTGTATCGATGTTAATATTATGGATATTTTGCGATTAACATTTGTATTGCTAAAAATTAAATAATTCACTAAATTCTCCAACGGTAAATTTTCATATAATAAAAAATATTAATTTCTATGAATTTCGAATGTGAGGCAACATTCAAAATTCAACGAAATCGTCCATTTTGAATTCAAAATGTTGAATTAAATTTAAAACTATTTAATTCATCTAGTCTTCAATGTAATGATTACCTTTTAAGTTTATATTTTCGATTCAAATAATAAACACCTTGAAACTGTACCTAGGGGCTATGCAATAAGAAAATTAACATTTAATGAATGAATTTTCGTTGTTAATATTGACATGCGATCTGACGAGGGCCGCGAGCCATCTTTCCTTTGGATGCAATTATTATGCAAAACGATTAACATCTTAACAAGTGGAAGTGTTCATACCGACACCTCTAGCGATCGATAGTAAATAGGAAACCTTGTAAGACGACCCTAAGATAAAATTGGAATACATTTTGAATTTTTATCTGTATATTGTCATAATTAATTTCAATGTTACAAATATATGTCTTCGTACATTTCAATTCAATAAATTAAGGAAATGAATGATCATTTCATCACTTTTGCAAACATAATGTCCCATTACATAACGATTACCTAACTCAAGTCCAAACAGTATTGATCCAAAACTAGTTGCTAATAAATAAAACCTTGATTTTTATGTTATCGTAACATTTATCATTCATTATCACCGTTTGATTGACAACATACTGCGAGACGCGAGTGTTTGTGATCAGTTGGTCAAATTCCGAGTTGATATCATCATTCACTAATAACATCTCGTCAATTCAATATATCTGAAAATACTGTCTAGTTTTGCTCGTCTACCAACTCTATACAAATTCCTAAGTTTATCACAGATCATTGGACAGATTAGATTATTGTGTATATAAAATATAGAGGTTTAAACAACATAATAATATAATATTTTCATCACACGTTTGTGCAAGAATACATCAATAATTTTCCGTCATGAGTTTCCAAGACAAAGTGGTGCTGGTAACTGGTGGCAGCTCTGGTATTGGAGCAGCCATTGCCATCAAGTTTGCTGAAGAAGGTGCTAAAGTGGCAATAGTGGGAAGAAACCAAGAGAAACTGAATGATGTTGCGAAAAAATGTGGTAATCCTTTAGTGATACAAGCTGACGTCACCAAAGATGAAGACATCAAAAGGATTGTCAATGAAACAGTGAAAAAATACGGTCAAATTGATGTTTTAGTTAACAACGCTGGTATTGTGCAAATAGCAAGTATCGAAGCGGAGAATGCTATAGAAGTGTTTGACAAAGTAATGTCAACTAACTTGCGCTCAGTGGTATACTTGACCAATCTTGCGGTCCCTCATCTCAAGAAGACTAAAGGTAACATCATCAACATATCAAGTATTGCCGGAATTCGCGTGCTTTCCAACGAAGGGTTCTGTTACGACACATCGAAGGCAGGTCTCGATCACTTCACTAGATCTATCGCACTCGAATTAGCTTCTAGTGGCGTTCGTGTGAATGTTATCAATCCAGGTCCCGTTAAGACTGATATCATGTCAAACATGGGTACTCCTAAAGAGATGGAAAATGTTATTTTGAAAAACATGCAAGGGATGACAGCTTTGGGAAGGATTTCAGGTCCCGAAGAAATTGCTCATCTGGCTCTGTTTCTAGCAAGCGACAAGGCCGAAGCCATTACTGGTTCATCATTTGTGAGTGACAATGGAATGTTATTGAAAGCCGGAGTATTTAGTATTAATTAAACATTATGCTTAAAATGTCTTTTATTGAATTGTCTTAGATAACTACATACAGCTTTGGATTTGTAGTCAATCGAACATGTTTAACAATCTTAATGTCGTTGTAATATTGCCTCGATTTTAACTTAAAGAAATCGTGGAATTGTGACTGATTTATTAGCTTCCATTATTAACTCATGACTAGTGAAATATGGGCCTTTATTAAGTACGTGCACCTCTACATGAGACATGTATTAGCTGTAAAAATTAACACCAATGTTATATCATCCGTATAACATAAGAGGGGCCCAAGAAGTTTTATAACAAACTTAAATACTTCCATAAATATGTTTCCATAGCACTCTAAAATTGAAGCTAGCTCCGTAGATAAATCAGAGAGGAATAATGTCGGACAGAACCTTATAAGATGAAGTTTATAGCAAAATATCAGTAACACAAGGAGTATCGATTGATATAGCTGACGTGAGCGCTCATAGTGATCTATTTCATAAAGTACGTGCATGTGTATAAAGGTACCCGACCGTCTATGTGTGAGTGCTCGTTAATCATAATTTCGCATGTTTGTTCGTGTGTACGTTGGTTCATATTATTATGTTTTGGGGATAAGAAATTAGTTAGTGGACATTAAACTTGAGTGTAGTTCCGAAGAATAGTCTTGATATTTGTAACTATTGGTCCATAGACAGCGATATAAAATGTTATTTTTTTCAAGACACATTAAATAATATCATTCTATTTAGACACTACAGAGTCGCATTTTTTATATTTGTTTAGGTACATAAATCAATTTTTGTTAATATTATTACACAAACACTTATCCTATGATTTGTTATATCTATATGTTACTTGTATATGTATATCTTGAAGTTGAAACACTGTTGTTTTTTTAGTTTAATCACAATGCTTAAACTTATGTTAACGTATATTTAGCAAACACGGCAATAGTTCCCATAGCTCCTGACAAAGTATCAAAGAGAACAGTCAGCGTACACGAAACTTGGCAAGAAGCATTAAGGGCTCGCACATCGTAGGGACTGACCCGTCATGAAATTTAAATCTAGATCAATAACCGCGCTTATATCATTGTCTTCATTAGAGATAATTGGGTTCGCTCCCCAACGGCCGCAACTTTGTTTGTTCGTCGATAACTTGAGACGAATTTCTTGAACATTAACTTACCTACGTCATGTAGGTTAGGCAGTCGTTAGCCGAAATGAACGTTGCGATCTATTTATAATTTTAGCGGGAAGCCTCTTAAGGATCAAAGTAGTTGGGTGGAGTATCCATTGTGTGGACTACCTGTCATAATTAGATAATATAATTTTTTAATTTTTACCCGATTGAAAGGAAGGTTTGTTTTGTATTCAACACCATGACCACTTTTTGGTCATTTTTTTATTAAGTGTATGTTACCTTAACTTAATTACAATCGATGATAATGAAAGCGACATGGCAAAAATGTTCAAATGAAATGGTGAAATGATTCATACTGCTCTTGCTTACGTTTTCTATCAAATAAACTTTCGAAAGAAAAAGTATAATAGCCATATTATCATAAAGCTCGGTAATTGTATTTCGTCTAAGTTGCTTGGAGACTGGTGTGTGGGTAATGCCGTCATTTGCGTCTCATATGTTTGTACACGGCGAGCAAACACGATTACCTGAAATTAGGTTAGTACGTTTTATGTTATTTACACTATCACCGGCGTCCCTAGATTTTCGCTCATTTTAAATTATTACTACAGCTTTTTATGTTGTTCTTGTGAAGTAATTGGATTTATAAATACTTAACGTTGTTTTACATGGTTTGTTTCGAGACTATAAAGTATTTGCTTCTTTGAATATGGATAGAAGAATAGTTTGGTATTGTAAATAAGATCTAGATATTGTAGATTCTACATTTTATATTTAGTTTTTTTATGTGGGTACTTATCTATTATTTATGAAGCATACGCTTCGCGGTACCAGTTCAGGTGAAAAACTCAGAAAAATATGTGTAGACATGAAAGAAAATTTCCCATATCTGTCGCTTTTTTACAGGGACAGAAAAATCTCAAACAGGTTGATATATTGTGGTTCTTTTCCATTACGTTTTGGTATTTTTTTAAACAACCGAGCAGCCCTCAAGCCACTCTGTAAGCGCCAATGTTTGAACACTCTCGCATCGATTTCGACTCGATCGCTTTCTAATCCCCATTTTCTCGATGCCATTACGATTTTTCGAGCGCTCACCTCACTCCATATTTCCGTGCATATCTCGACGATTCGCAGATCCATTATTTTTTATGGCTGGAATACACGATGCTTAGTAGAAGTATCGCCCCTGCCTACCGAGTGTTAACGTCTCGGTACACTTTGCTTAGGGGTGACAATGAACTTACGCAGAAAAAATGCAAACATTTACGAGCCATGGGTTTATAATGAACTAACTCAAACTCCACTTGTTTGCCATTACACTACTATTTCATATAAATAAATACAGTTTAAGGATATTAATGATAGTATTAGAGTTAGATATTATGGACATTTTCTAAGTAGGTACTCAGTTGGTAGCGTCGCTTTCAAAAATATGATACCTTTTAAAACATTTTCAAATATTTATCAACTGTTTCAACTTAGGGAGATAGCTTAGTAGCTACTCGTGAATGAACGCTACCTTTGTCAATAAATACAAACTTTAGCGAATATGTTAGACAAAATGGTATGGATAATTCTTTAGAATTTTCTGACCTTAGTTTCTGAGTGCCTCTATAGTGCATTTCAAGTTTTATTATAGATTCACAAACAATAAAATGAAATAATTTATGCTATTTATATTTACGGATGACTTCAATACGGCAGGTTAGCAAGTGGACCGGAAAACCGCCCAATCAGTTTCTTTTCTCAGTTTCTAGTCACCCCAACACAACTCCCGACTCAGCCATTCCACTCAATACATTTTATCGACAAACGTCAGTGACGCTGCGTGACACTTATGTAAATATTTAAATACGATCCAGTACAAGCTATGAATATTTTAAACTCTAAGTAAACCACTCGGCTTTGTACTCCCACAAAGATACTCACACACCAATGAAAGAAAATCTATTACTATTCCGATTGCAATAAGGTTGAAATTAGTGCATGAGATCAGCAAATGACGGTTGTGTTCTTGTATTATATCTATGCATAAAGCGATTTGATAAGTGCTCGCAAATTGGGGATCGATATTAAAGTGACGAGTTATGCTGATTGGATTTTTTCAAGTGGTTCCGAGGGGACGGTGAATAATTGAGTGCGATTTAGTTTAAGCGAACAAAAAATGGTTTTCGAATTTAATTTCTTATGAATAATTACAAAAAATCTACATATCGCCAAGTAATAACTTGCATTTTGCATTTAATTCGTGTCATCGCGCATCGGTTCAACTGTTGTTGCGGCCGCCTGACATTGGGTTACGGCTTTCAATCCTACGAGTGCAATTGCTATTATAATACTACTAGGCGCTTACAATTTATACTAATATTATTGACAAAAATGTTAAAAAAAATAATTAAACTAACCTAATTTTATTTAGAACATAAAACTGAACAACTTTTCTCAGTAGACATTAAAATTAGAAAGCCAAGAGTATTTCGAACGAGCACAAGTACATTAAGGAGCGAGTCGTGCTTGTATCAATTGATCAGGCAGATCGTCCTCGATACCGCTACTCGATACCATTCACACAATCTCCGAGGGATCTATTCGAGTGGTACTCTAGCTTTCCGGATCTCATTCTTTTGTTGGCAGCACTCGGTTCGCGTCGCCACTCGACACCCGAGGATGTCTTTGTTATAATGTCGCTTTGATAAAAGGTGAAGACCAAAAATTTGTTGTGTTTCTGATAAAAATAAAATTGATTTTTATTACCTCGTGATTATAGTTCCTAGAGATAACGAAATAAACAGCCATAGGTATTTTTGGATGTTAACTTAATTGCTTGTTACCTACTTTTCTTTTTAATTATATAGCTACACTTTCAGTAAGGAAACCCTTAGTTCATTCCTTTTATAAGCTCCTATCTTTTACAATAATACATTTACAAAATATAACACACGTCTTGTGCAGCGTTTGGAGTAGAGGATGACTATTTTCATTGGTAGGTCTGATTGAAGTCAGTTGTACAGATTTATTCATCAATTAATTACACTAATTACACTTAATACTATAATAAATGTGACAGGTTTTGTTTGTTTTGATGTTTTACCTACCCGTTAATGACGCTGCAATTGTTGAACGTATTTTGATGAAATTTGATATACAGGCAGGGTTTGGGCTGATTTAGGTGATTGGGTATTTTTATCCCGATTAAATGCTCCCATGCGGTAAAACAGGAATCTTATTCTACGATGACGAAGTTGCAGGCAACAGCTAGTAATTAATACTTTCATTATCAAAGGACAAGTAAGTTAAATGTTAAATATCTCAACTTTCAACGTCGACTCGTTTAAAATTTTAACACCTAAGAGTATGTAACAGTACTCCAAGCAAGTGAAATGTAAAAGAATTTTTTTAAAAGCCACTACCCCCAGGTGGCGACTGGGTGAATACAAAGTGTGCAAGGCGGGCGATCCGCCTTCGCCCCTGTTACATGTCGATATGGCGATCTCAATATTTGGGTCATTGAGATATTACATAGAGTAATCTCTATTAGACGTGGTATAGACAATTGTAGAAAGAACTAATATTTGAATGGAATAAGACATAACGTGAGGAACCATGCCATTCTTTATGTATGACTATGACTAGGTAAGACGTAAAATATAGTACTGATAAATGTAGGACTCAAATTCCAATCAGTGTTCACAAACTTGCAGCGAATTCTTACCGGACTAACAGGTAATGTCTTCCCAGGAAGGTTTCTATTGGCAAAGAAACCAGATTCTTTCAATACACGAGATAGGTGAGTTTGGGCGGGCGAATGGCATTGATCATAATATCGACGGAGGCTTACGAGAGTGATAAATGGACGACCGCAGCGTCAGTGGTGGGATGAC